TTGCTATGAGTAAGAACTGACTCAAGAGAACCTAATAACAACAATGTGGAATTTACCTATCTGTTTGTGTTCCATTTCACCTTTACATCTTTTATGATTCAAACATTCAATGTTGTGGTTATTATGGATCCTTGCAGCTGTTTGTTCATATTTTGACTTGTGCTCCAAGAGTAAATAAAGCAAGATTCTGAACGTTTTACTTCAGTCACATTATCATGGTTAAGTCTACTGTGAGAATACAGTTGTTTCTAGTCACATTTTGAATGACTTCTAATCTGAGAAGCTCATATTATGGCATTATATTTGACAATATTCTGGTGTTATACATTATGTTTTCATCTTCTGGAAATATATCTGATAACTTTCTCCTGTTATTCATGATTCCAGTGACTAAACATTCAAAGTATCCTGTCTGTCCTTCTTCCTATTTTGTCTTAGTCTGCCAACTTGGCTGAAACTGATCCACCATGTGTGACCCTGCTAGTATGTCAAATACCACTAACAGCTTCTAGCATCACAGCAGCTTGCAATCCACCCTAGTATGACAAACTATTAGATAAGTGGTCAGGCTATATAGTAGATTTTTTATTTTTTTTTTAAATGACAAAGTAAGAGTAATGATTCAAGTTCAACATATATGATGGTGTTTTAAACAGTTCCTGGAAAAATGGAATGAAAAGATAATCACTTTTTTCCATTAAGTGTTTCAAGGCCCCTAATAGCATCAAAAGAAGATGGACGCTTAACTGAAGAATGGAAAAACAAACTGTGGTATATACACACAATGGAATACTATGCTACCTTGAAAAATAACAAGGAAGCTGCAAGCCACTGCTTAACTGGATGATCAGAGCTCAACCAGAAGAAGAAAGAAGATGAAAAAAAGAGTAACCTGATACAATTAGATGAATTTGATCTACACTTATGGATGCAGTAGCTCAAAAGAGGGAACAAATCTTTACAGCAAGGATCATTCCCACCCACTCCATACACAGAGTAGACAGGGATGGGCAACTTGGACATTGGCTACCCAAAGTGGTGGGGCTACAAAGGCAAGAAGTGACTGGCTTACAAGCTTTCAAGAGGGAACCTAGATCCAGAGGGCATGAAGGAAGGTAGAATCTCCACTGAGTAGTATACAATCTGTCTAGGGGGCGTTGATGAAATGAAATGCAGGTAGGTCTCTTGTGACTCAATAGTGGATAATTATTATCAGGACTGCTTGTGAGGGTTGGAAATGTAAAGGTAGATGTTTTGTAGCAAGGAGGGGTGTGATTAACTTTTCAGCCTAGGAGCGGAGGTCCCTGGTACCATCAAGGGAGAAGAGCGGAGAGCGAGACCCTACCCAGAGAAGCAGTGATGCCTGAGATGGAGGCAGAGAGGATGACATGAAGATATAGAGCAGTTGAGGACTTTAGACACAGAGAGGGAGAGGGGCTGTGTGCTAACGACCGAGGGAAGGGGGGCAGGCTTATACTGTATACCCTTTGGTTGGTTGATGATGCATGGAGGGGATAGTAACCATAACAATGAAACGATATACGATAGGATGAATGTAAAACTAATTTGCTCCCATGTAAAGTATCACATAATTCACAATAAAACATTTAAAAAAAAATGACAGTATCAAAAGAAGATAGAAGGGTTGACAAGCTCCCCTCTCCACACCCCGCCAGACCCTCTCAGATCGCTCTGCACTCCGCTTATCTGCGTCCACCATTGCTACCGTCCGGTAGACAGCAAAGGCTTTGATGAATACATGAAGGAAATAGGAGTGGGCATGGCTCTGCGAAAAATGGGTGCAATGGTCAAACCTGATTGTATCATCACTACTGATGGCAAAACACTAAGGATCAAAACTGAAAGCACTTTGAAAACAACACAGTTTTCTTGTAACCTGGGAGAAAAGTTTAAAGAAACTACAGCTGATGGCAGAAAAACTCAGACTTTCTACAACTTTACAGACGGTGCTTTGTTTCAACAACAGAAGTGGGATGGGAAGGAGAGCACGATAACACGAAAACTGGAAAATGGGAAATTAATTGTGGAATGTGTTATGAACAATGTCACCTGTTATCGGACCTATGAAAAAGTAGAATAAAAATTCCATCTTTATTTTGAATAGGAATTAGCTGTGAGAATAAACAAGCTCAGTTCAATGAACAAATCTCCACACTGCTTTGGTTTTTGTTTTTTTTGGTTTTTCATTGCTGTGTTCAATTATTTCTCTCACAGACATTTATATGCAATTGTTTCAAAGTGTTGGTTTCATTAGGATAATCCCTTTGATTAGTAAATAAATGTGTTTGTGCTCATTAAAAAAAAAGAAGAAAAAGAAGATAGAAGGAATACACCAAGTCACTATACCAAAGTAATGGTCAATGTTAAAACATTTCAAGAGGTAGCATATTCTTGAGATCTTTCAAGAAAGTGAGGCAGCACTGGAGGCACTCACTCATCTGTGCCAAGAAATTTGGAAGACAACTATCTGGCCAGCTGATTGGAAGAAATCCGTATTTGTGCTCATTCCAAAGAGAGGTGACCCAATGGAATGTGGAAGTCATCGGACAATATCTTTGATATCCAACGCAAGTAAAGATTTACTAAAGATAATGTAGAAATGGCTGCAAGCATACATTGACAGAGAACATCCAGAGGTTCAAGATGGATTTAGAAGAGGCTGTGGAATGAGGGATATTATTGCTGATGTCCTATGGATTATAGCTGAAAGCAGAGAATACCAGAAAGATGTTTACCTGTGTTTTATTAACTATGCGAAGGCTTTCAATTGTGTGGATCATGACAAGCTATGGACAACATTGCAAAATGTGAGTATTACAGAATGGTTAATCGTGCTCACGAGGCATCTGTACCTGGACTAAGAGGCAGTTGTTTGAAAAGAACATGGGAACATTAAGTGGTTAAACCATTAGGAAAGGTGTGTGACAGGGTTGTATTCTTTCACCATACTTATTCAACCTGTATGTTGAGTAAATGTGAGAAGCTGGTTTTTATGAAGAAAAACATGGCATCAGGAATGGAGAAAGACTCGTTAAAAGCCTGTGATGTGCAGATGATAAACCTTGCATGCTGAAAGTGATAAGGACTTAAAGTATTTACTGATGAAGATCAAAGACCAAACCTTTCAGTATTGGTTGCATCTCATTGTAAAGAAAACAAAAATCCTCAATAGAACCAATAAACTATATTCTTAACAATAGAGAAAGATTGAAGTTGTCAAGGATTTCATTCTTCTTGGATCAACTATCAACACTCATGGAATTAGCAGTCAAGAAATGAGGACATACTGCATTAGGCAAATCTGTTGCACAAGACCTTCTTAAAGTATTGAAGAGCAAAGATGCCAGCTTGAAGATCAAGGTGTGCCTGATCCAAACCATGATATTTTCAATAACCCCATATGCATGTGAAAGCTGGAAAGTGAACAAGGAAGACCGTAGAAGAATTGATGCTTTTGAGTTATGGTTTTGAAGAAGAATATTGGAAGTGCCATGGACTGCCAAAAGAACCAATAGATCCATTTTGGAAGAAGTGCAGCCAGTGTGCTCATTGGAGGCCAGGATGACCAAACTTCATCTCTCATAATTTGGACATATTGTCAGGAGGGAGATATTGTCAGGAGAAAGACATCATGTTTGGTAAGGTGGAGGGTCAGAGAAAAAGAAGACCCCAGTGAGATGAATTGGTAAAGTGGTGGCATCAATGGGCTCAAGCATGGCAACAATTGTGAGGTTGGCATATGACCGGGCAGTGTTTCGTTCTGTTTTGCATAGAGTCACTGAGTTGATACCGACACCTAAGAACAACAACAATAATATATGAATAAGGAGCCCTGGTAGCATAGAGGATTACAAGGTGGGCTACTAACCACAAGGTCAGCAGTTCCAATCTACTAGTCACTCTGCGGGAGAAAGACGAGACTTTCTTCCCCCATAAAGATTTATAACCTCAGGATCATTATGTGTTGGAACTGAGTTGATGGCACAGAACCACCACAACCAGTATATGAACAGGTGTCCTGGTGTGGTGCTATGGGCTAATGCACTGGACTGCTAAGTGGATTTGAACTGCAAGGCTGGTGTTTCAAGCTTATCAACTGCTCTTTGGAAACACTATACAGGGTCGCTATGAGTCTAAACTGATTCAATGGCACTTACCAACAAGTATATGAATGGAATCCTGGTGTAGAGTTATAGGATAAGCAGTGAGTGGACTGCTAACCATGAGGTTAGTGTTTTAAAGCCATCAACTGCTCCTTGGAAACTCTATACATGGTTGCTATGAGTCAAAACTAACTCTAAGGAACAACAACAATATATATAAGGAGGATATATAATAAAAATATATAATTTTACCACTTTGTTGCCTCTGAAATAAGAAGAAGTAATCTATTCTCTAGACAAGTCTTCAAAGGAAGAACTGCTTCAGGAAGTATTGCTATATGTAATATGAATATTGTAAAAATGTTATAGCAAAATTTTATTCACATTATTACCCTCTATACTTTGCTTCTGCTGTTTTGATACTCTCATGATGAAACATGCAGTGTAGATAGGTCATAAGACAGCTTCAAGTAATTTTCAACCTGATTGTTCCTGAATGTTACTTTTGTTGTTAAGTGCCTTTGAGTTTGTTTTGATTCATAGTTACCTTTTCTATGTTTTCCAAAGAGCAACTGGTGAATTTGAACTACCATACGTGTAGTTCGTGGAAGCAGCAGTCAAGAGATCAGATGACGTATTGCACTGGGCAAATCTGCTGCACAGGACCGTTTTAAAGTTTTGAAGAGCAGATATGTCAGCTTAAGGACTAAGGTGCGCCTGACCCAGGCCATTGTGTTTTCAATAGCCT